TTATCCAACTCATCCTCGTCATCATCATTACTGTCATAGTTGTAATAGTTGTCATCATAATTGGTCGTATCCTCGATGGTAACCACTGTTGTTGATTGGTTTGTCTCCCGGAGCCAAACTGTCAACTGTCTGACGGATTGGTCGCAATTGTTTAGTCTTTTATCAAGTTTTTTAATAATAATAATAATATATTTTTTGTAACTAATTTTTTTTCATTAATTTCAATTTTTTGTACATTTATTTAATATATTTTATTAATTAAATACATTTTTTTAATTGGCGTTTTGCTAGCATTTGTTGTTAATTTTTTAATTACTATATTATCATTATCTTTCTATCAGTTAAACTAACTATAAATATAATATAATTAAATGATTTTTTTTTAAATTTAATTAATCTATTATTAATTATCAAATAAAATCAATTTCTAGTATTATAACCAAAAATTGCTTAACAAATAATCAGACACTAAATAATAAACTTTTAGTTTATAATTAATTTAATTTAGAGGCCATAGTTTTTACTTTAATCTATATTTAATTTTAGCATTTATAATAGGATATGAAAAAAATTATAATGTACTAGTAATTAAATAAATAGAAAATAAGTTTTATTAGTATATTTAATTTTAGTTTTTATAAATGTATTCAAATGGATATTTTTAATAAATAATTGATATACTATTTGATTATTACTTTTTGATAAATAAATAACTCATTGTATTGTAATTAAATTTATTTTTTATTTTTAAATATTATTATTATAATAAATGTTCAAAAATATCTCATTCAAAATATTATTTAACTTGTAATAAATAAATAAAAAAAGTTTTTAATTAAAATTTATTATATTTACACTTACATAACATTCAACTATTTATATTAGATTGAAATACTGTATAAAATTTATTACAAATTATTCAAATAGTTTATTCAACAAAAATACTGTATATTTTTTCTAAGTTCATATAATTTTATGCCTAAATAATTCATTTAAATATGAATTATGAAAAATTAATAACAAATAAATTTTTATCAATATTACCATTTTATCGGATTAATAAAACCAATTATATAAGCAATAATTTGTTAATTTGCAATAATAGTTACAATATTAATGAAAATATTAGTATTTTAGTAAATATGGTAAGTTTTAAACTTTTTTTTTAATTTAAAAAATTAAAAATATATTTAACATAATTTTTGTGATTTTTTAAAATTTTTCAGCCTATAATATTTGGTTTGGATTATACTATACTAAAATATTTATTATGCAACTTAGGTTTGAATGTTATATTCAACAAAATTAATTATGTATGTAGAAAAAAAATTATTAATAAATAATTATATCTTTTTTTAGTAATATATATATATATATGTATAATATATTAGTTAAAATATATTATGTTTTATTTAAATTTAATTTTATTTATTTGATTTGATTTTATTTTTTAAATATATAAGAATAATTCAATAGATTTTCGTTTATATAAACAATCGTTGATAAACTATAACAATAATTTGGTTGGCTATCCATTGGATAATATTTATTTTTGTACAATAATTAGTGGGATGAAAATAGTTTACGATAAATCATATTTTAAATTTTTAAATTTATTTGATGTTAATGTGAGTATAAAAATAATTTTTTAGTATTTATATAATTAATTAGTTTTTTATTGTATTGTATAAATAAATAAATAACATCTACATTATTAAAAATAATCAACAAACAGTATAGTAAGTATACTAGTTATTTATTTATTTATTTACATAATAATAGAAAATATATTTATTTTTTTTTAAATATTTTTTTTAACTTAACTTTTTATATACAGATATGGCTATCATTACTAGCAGTTTATATAATATGTTTATTTATTATAAAAATATCAAACATGCCTGTATTATATAAACATTATATAAATTGGGATATTATTCGTATGTTATTAAATCAAGGTGATTTAATAACAATAAATTATGCTAAAAATTTTTTTAAAAAATATTATCACGTAGACATTATAATAATTATATGGATCATCTTTTCATTTATATTGACTAAATCATTTTCAAGTATTTTACTGAATACATATTTTTGTATAAAATCAATTCAATCATATGATACTATAGATAGTATCATTAATAATCAAACATCTATTGATATTTTTGTCAATAAAAATAATAGTTATTTACATAATTTATATAAATCACAATTAATTAATAATAATTCATTAACTAGTTTACTAAATAGAAAATCAATATTTGAAAACAAAAATATAACTTTTAATGATAAAATTAAAATGATAATAAATAATAATGCTGTTTTGCTAACTAATTCATTACAGTCTAATAATTTTCATAATTTATATGTTGAATATAGCAACTTATTTTCAATATCTAGCAATAAATATTTACCTGAAATAGTTTCATATAATATAAATAAATATATGCCTTACTATAATCAAACACATATTGTGTAAGTATTAATATTAATAAAATTTAAATTTTGTTTAAATTATTATATTTATTATTGTTTAAATAATATTTTTTTTCAATGTAAAATTTATATATATATATATATATATTAATTATATTTACAGTTATCAAAGTGCACTAGAAAATGGCTTATATACTCATCACAAAATTGTTACTAATATTATTTATAGACAACATTTTTTAAATAAAGATTCATTGAATCAATTTAATCAATTAAATCAATATGATATTAGCAATTATATTGATGATAGAAATATTAAATTAAATGAATTTTATTTTAATAATATTGTTTTTATTATCTATGTTTCAATTATACCAATTGTTGTTTTACTGATTGAATTAATAAGATTTTATTATCTGAATTAAATTATATATAATTAAAGCTAATTAAAAATAATTATTATTCAAATATATTAACTTCAAAATAAAGTGTATTATTCTTATGTAATTTATAATAAAACATATTTTGTATAAAAATTATTTAACTACTAATTAGTGTATTTTTTTTAATAAAATTATTTATTTAATTTATAAACTATAATATTATATTTAAAATAATAAAAAAAAATTTTTTTTATCAATACTGAATTTTTAAGCACTATATTAAAATAATATTTTTTTATTTCAAATAATTATATATTTTTTAATAACATATTGGTTTCGTAAGTAAGTAATCTAATTAATTATTATTATTATTATTAATATATTTATTAAAAATACTGTTTATTTATATATAAGTTGTCTAACATAGAATATAAATAAATTTAGTTTTAAAAAATAAATTTATGTTTTTTTAAGAAAAACTAAATATTAATATATTTTATTTGTAATCAAAAAAAGGTATTATTATTATTACAAACTAATATTACTATTATTATTAATAATTTATTATTACTTTTTTAGTTTTTTTTTAAAAATAATAACCTATAATAACAATGATGATGATGATGATGGTTATGGTAATGCTGTTAATAATTGTATTGATAATGTTGTCAACAGTGGTGGTACCAACTGTCCAACAATTTGGCGTAGATCTGGCACCCGATGATGGCCGGGATTGGACTAAATAATATCAAAGTTTATATACAGTATATATATATATATATGAATATATAGTATAATTTAGTTTGATTTGTTATATATATATATATATTACAATAGTATTATTATTATTATTTAAGAAAATTGTTTTTTGAAAATAAATCCTCTCAGAAAAATATCAATCAATTTTTTTTAAAATTGTTAATAAAGTTATTTTATTAAATATATGTTAAACATATTATTATTATTATTATTATTATTATTAGTATTATTATTATTATTATATATTTAATATATAGTTGTATTTAATAAACTATTAAATACTAAAATAGTAGTTTTACAGCAAATATATGGTTTTTTTTAATTAAAAAAGTTGTTATTATTTGTTTATTTAGTAATATTTAATTATATATTATCTTTATTTTAAATAGTTATTATTATTATATATTTATCTATACTTTATTGTTTAATGTATGTAAATATATAATATCTGTAAATAATATATTTATTTAGATATATTTTTTTTGAAGTAAATTTTGAATATAGTTTTAATTGTGTGACTATACAAAAAAAAATAGTACCATATTTTCAAATATTAAATTACACACAAATTTCAAGTTAAAAACATATTTATTTATTTTTTTGAATATCCGTTTATAAGTTGTGTAACAATTAATAACAGTTATAAAACTACATCAATAGTGGCTATTGATTACTACGGTATATACATATTTAAGTAAAAAAAATTATTGATTAATAATTACAAATAATTAAAAGATTTTTAAAAAAAAACAAATATTAACTTAATTTTAATATAAATATATTTAAAAACAATAGCAACTCATATAAAACTTTTGATAGAAATTTATTAATTAATTATATTTCTAAATAATTTTTTTTTTAAAAATTATTTACTTTAAACATATATTTAACAAATGATTTATTTATTAAGTTTTTATATCAGAAAAATTATTATCAAATGTTTACAATGTTTTTCATTTTATTTTGTTTATGTGTTTATAATTAAGACTAAAAAATACTAATACAATGAATTGATAATACATTAATTAATCAATTAATTTTGATAACAATTTTTAACAAAATTATTTTATATATTTATATATGAAATAATATTTGCAGTAAAAGTATAAGTAATAATAATAATAGGAAATAAATATAATAAATATTAAATCAATCAAAACAATAATTTGTTTTTTATATAATCAGAAAATTATTATATACCTTAAGGTATTCAAAAATATTATATATTAAATATACAAAAAAAAATATATTAATATGAAAATATTTGAAGAAAAAACAAACAAACAAATAATAATAATAATAATAATCATTTAAATGCTAATAATTTACAAGTTTTAATTATTTCAATTAATTAATTAATTTTGTCTTTACTATAGATTATATTATAATTATTATTATTATTATACAAGTATATTAACAGGAGATAATAAATAGTCAATGGATAATAAAAATTTAGTAATAAATGATTAGTATATTAGAGATTATTAGTTATTTAGTTATTTATATCCATTAGTATTGTTGTTATTATTGTTGTTGTTTTGCGGCAAACTTTTCCCGTGCCCTACGATTTTTGATCCATGCCCTATAAAAACCATCCTGGTCATACACCATATTGTGATAGACACTTATAGATAGGCCTTCCATACGATTCAATTGATGCATCTTTTTGATAAACTCGGGTCCATGAGCATCTATAGATAATAGGAGGAGGAAAGGGGTTTAATTAGGGAACGGTAGATATGGATAGGTGTATCGTATGTATGTATACTTACCGCTAATGTTTAGTGCAAACTGATAGGCGTGTATCATCTCGTGTAGGAGTGTCTCCCGTATCTGCTTTTCGCCGGCAAATCTCAACAGTGGTCGCGAAAGCTTTATCTGAATCGGTCGACATTTAGGACTGAGAGATATAGACAAAGAGGACAGGGATGTAAACAGATATATATATAATTAAGTATTGTATTGTAAATTCTACAGTTTATTATTGTATGTATAACTTATGTAATTGTGTATACGTATACATACAGTAGGTATATATATATGTTTAATTATGTAATACAACTACATATAAACTGTATATACCTATTATGTATGTACAGTTTGCATGTAGTTGTATATGAACTGCTATTTATGTGTATAGTTTGTATGTACAGTATATGTATGTCTACTTATGTTTAGTAAAGGTATGCATGTAGTTGTATTGAACTGTTATATAATCAAATATATTATATACAGTATATCACATATAATCAGATATATATATATATCTATATCTATAGATATGTATGAATAGTTGACTGATATGATAGATACTTTCAATATCTATATCTATAGATATAAATTTATATCTAATTATATGTGATATACTGTATATAATATATTTGATTATATATCACATATAATTAGATATAAATTTATATCTATAGATATGTATGAATACTTGAATGATATGATAGATACTTTCAATTACTTTAGTAATTAACTAATAGCTAATTAATAAAATAATTTACCGATTTTCGGGATAAGTAATACCGGCCGCTATATACATATTGTTGATCCAAAACACTTCAACTTCGTGTTCAAACAGTACGCCATCGAAATATTTTTCATCGTATCGGCGAAACATAGCCTGTATGTCGGGTACGGGATGTGCGGCCGCCGCCGCCGCCGTCGATTGTTGGCCATCAATACTGTCCAACTCATCCTCGCTGTCGTAGTATTCGTCATCATAATTGGCCTTATCTTCGATGGTAATCACTTTGATTGGTGTGTTTCCCGGAGTCAAGTCAACTGTCTGTCGGATTGGTCGCAATTGTTTAGTTTTTGAAGTCTTTTTCAAGTTTTATAATAATAATAATAATAATATATTTTTTTATAACTATTTTTTTCAGTAATTTTTTGTGCATTTATTTTGCACTTAAATACCTTATCAGTTGGCGTTTTGTTAGCATTTATATTCAATTTCTTTTTAGCTAAAAAATAAAATTTTAGTAAATTTATATATACTGTATATATACCAATATATAGATATGACAACAATTACTAAACTTTTTTCGGTAACAAATTTTCCGCTAATTTTAATCATCTGAACCAACAATGTCTCCTCCAATAGATTCTCCCGTTTGTCGTCTTTGTTGGCCAACAATCGGTCGGACAAACGTATCTCCAATGTCTGCACTTTACTAATAAATAATGTTATCAACGATTGTGTTAATCAATTTCAATGTATAATACAACCCAAACCTTCAATACCACCCCTCCCTCCCTCACCGTTACCTTTTCGGGTCTTTCGGCGCAATTTTGACAATACGTGTCATATTTTTGGTCATACGGGTCGACCAGCGGACAGTCGTTTTATTTTTGGCAAATTGATTGTCAAAGAAATTCTTGTCGTAATAGTTAAACAAATCGGATAACTCTTTGACTGCATCTTCGGGTACAGTCTTTACGGGACTTTTGTTGTTGACTTCATTTTTACCATCAATTTTCGGTGCAATCGGCTTTTCATTGGCTGCTTCTCCGGTATTATTCACCCCTATTGGCCTCAGTTTGCGGTTATTGTTGTCCACTACTTCATCCCGATTTTTATCGGTATTGTTGTTGTCTGTCTCATCATCGGTGTTGTCCACATCGTCCTCATTATAGTTATTATTATTATTATTATTTTTAGGAAAATATTTGTCCGATTTGTCAATTTCATGGATTATATTATTAAGATTTTTGAGATCAAAATAATCATCGGGTGTTATCCTAGAGGCCATTGTTTCTACTCTATAATCCTATACTATCTAATCTATATCTATCTATCTATCAATCAGTTATCACTATTAACTATAAATATAATTATAATTTAATTAAATTAATTTTTTATGTTGTCGTTGATAATAATTAATCTATTAATTTATTAATTATCAAATAAAATCACTATTTCTAATATAATAAGCAAAAATTACTTAACACTCATAACTAACTAATGAACAATAGTTTATAATAAAAATTTATAATAAATTTAATCACGTTTTTTAAGTTTTAATGGTTGACTAACATTGAGATCTCATTTTATGTATATATATATATATATTATAAATATATGAGTTGATAATCACATCACTATATGTTTTTCATGTATCAATGTTTGTGTGTGTGTGTGTGTGTGTGTGTGTGTGTGTGAGTAGGGTTGTTAAAACGTGTCCACTAATAATTACTGCAATAATTAAAATAGCATTTATATAAATATAATAAAAATTATTTAAATTATATTCAGGTATTTATATTTTTTATAATAATTTATTTAATTTATTTTGCATAAAATTTATTAGTCTTATTTAATTTACTAATTATATTATTTATATTAATTAAATTTTAATATTAAATTTGGCAACTCTAGTTTAATATGAGTCAAAGTTATATAAAAATATTTTATTTTTTAAATATATATACATACATACAGTATAGATAATATTTTTTATAGTAATAGTTTATTATATACTGTATATATTAACAATGATTCATATAATTCATAAGTAATTTTTTATATGTATGACTACTATACTGTACTTTATATGTATTAATATCCTATTATTACTAATACATATGATTTGTAAACTTTGTATATTTATTTTGTTTGTTAATTGAATTTTTTTTTTTAATATTGTTAGTAATAGTTTGTTATCCTATTATATATTATAATATAACAGTTATATATATAATATAACAGTTATATATATAATATAACTAATATAAAATTATATGATTCAATTTTATATAGATATAGTATTAATTTATTTAGCATATTAATTAGTTTTTTATTTTATTTTTTAATATTCAAAGTTTAATGATAATTATAAAATTATTATTATTATTATTATTATTATTATTATTGACCAATTAATAATTTATTCACACATACTTACACACACAACAAATAAAATAATAATTAATTTTTAAAAATCTAATTTTATTTAAACAATTATACTATAAATTACAGGTAACACTAATTATTTACTACAACAACAACAACAACAACAACAAAATTTGATTAAAAAAAACAAAACAAACAAAACAAATCAATTAATTTTAATCAATTTAATTTAGTATAATATTTAATAATTAAATAATATTATTATTTTTAATTTTTTAAAAATCTATACTACTAGCACAGTTAGATATTGATTATGATTTTATTATTTATTAATTATTATTATTAATAATAATTATTTTTATTATATATTTTTAATAATTTTTTTTTGATTATATATATTTTTATTTTATTTATTTTTTTAAAAAAAAATAATTATTATATTGTATCTACCGGTGCAGGTGCCGGTACCACCAATTTATGTGTACGTTCGTGTATAATCATTGAATACAAACGGGCCGTAGCGTACATACAGGCCCTGTATTTGCATTTAAATGGTTTTTCGCCGGTATGTTTGCGTTTATGTTCAACCAGTTTATGATAGGCTACTAGGGATACATCACACCCGGGCCAGTCACACTTGAATCGATGCATGGGTGAGTTACATGATTTATCTATACGGCACTTACCTAGTAGTGTTGGCATCAAAAAATAAATAAAAATTTATAAAAAATAATAGGGAAATATCTAGAAAATTTCTATATAAAATTTTTTTTTATATCTATGGGATCCCCGCCCCCTCCCCATGATTAATTTTGTTTTATCGATATTTAATTAACTTGCTTTTACATTATTTTTTTTACAAGTTTAATAATTTTTAATATATTAATATTTTATAAATTATTAATTAAAGCATAAAAAAAAATTATTATTTTAATTGTATTAAACTATGATATATATATATACTGTATATTAGAATTGATGAATAAAATTTTTACAAAACTAATTATTATTATTATTATTATTAAATAATTATAATTATTTTATATATATATATATACAGGTTATCCCATTTTATATATAATTGTGTACTAATATAGTGTATAATATATTTATAGTATAGTATTACAATATCTATAGATATGGGGGGAACCCATAATTATAATAATACAGTCTAAAATTACTATAGAAATTTATTAGAAACATTCTCAATGGAAATTTATTAGAAACTTTTTCAATGGAAATTTATTAGAAACTTTCTCATGGGGAAATTTATTAGAAACTTTCTCAATGGGGAAATTTATTAGAAACATTCTCAATGGAAATTTATTAGAAACTTTTTCAATGGAAATTTATTAGAAACTTTCTCAATGGGGAAATTTATTAGAAACTTTCTCAATGGGGAAATTTATTAGAAACTTTCTCAATGGGGAAATTTATTAGAAACTTTCTCAATGGGGAATTTTATTAGAAACTTTCTCAATGGGGAAATTTATTAGAAACTTTCTCAATGGGGAAATTTATTAGAAACTTTCTCAATGGGGAAATTTATTAGAAACTTTCTCAATGGGAAAATTTATTAGAAACTTTCTCAATGGGAAAATTTATTAGAAACTTTCTCAATGGGGAAATTTATTAGAAACTTTCTCAATGGGGAAATTTATTAGAAACTTTCTAATTGCCCATCTCTACTACACTTACCCGAATGTTTCTTATAGGAATGCCGTTTGACTACCCCATTGTAGAAACTACCGAAACTGCAACCCTCCCAAGCGCACCGGTACCAGACACGACTGTCCACTTGTCGCTGTTTGCGTGTATAGTTTTGTTGGTGTTGTTGTTGTTGTTGTTGTTGACGTTTTGTTGTTGTTGTTTTGTGTTTAACTAAAATTTATATATTTAAAAAAAATAATATATTAAGTGATTTTTTTAGTAGTAAATAATATTTAGTTTTATTTTAATACAATTTAATTGTTTGTTTAGTATTATTAATGTATTAATAATAATAATAATAATAATAATAATAATAATAATAATAATAGATAACAGATTTTAATACAGAATATTCTGTATTCTTATATATATATATATATTCTTATATATATATATATATATATATATATACTATACTTAAGTTATATATTGTTTTTTTTTTTGGTTACTGATATATGTTAATTAATTAATAATTTAATGTTAATAATTATAATAATAATATAGTTACCATTATTAATTTTATTTTTATTATTAGTACTAGTAGTAGTAGTAGTAGTATGAATTGGTATATCAATAAAATTATTATCATTATTATTATTATTTATATTGTCATCAATAATATCATAACTAATATTATTATTATTATTGATATTAATATTTGTTAAATAATTATTATTATTATCGCAAATATTGATGTCATTGTTGTTGTTGTTGTTGTTAATGATATCTGATTTGTTATCCAATTCATTGCAGATTAGATTAGTTAAGACAAAACTATTGAAACAACTATCGTCTTCGTCGTTATCATCGTATGTGTTGAACACAGATAGGGGACTACTGGCCCTACCGTCTACCTCCCCGTCCCCGTCCTCGAAACCACTGTCGACCATCATATCACTGCTACCACTGCCACCACCACCGCCGTTGCCGTCCTCTCTGTTAATTGATTGGGCAATAATCTGATCCATGGCTGTCAAGCAGCCGATGCCGCCGCTGACACCACCGCCAGAGGTGACGGCCGCAAACGCGTCCAACGTTTTCATATAATACATGTCATCATCGGTGTCATCGCAGCCGTCGGTAGTGTACCAGTCGCTAGTGGTTGTCGTCATCGGTATGTTGTTGTTGTTGTTGGCGTCTATGTATGTGTCGCCAGCAGTGTAATGATTGGCAGTGTGGTTATCGTGGTGATGGTGATGGTGGTGTTGGTGATGATGGTGGTGGGGGTGGTGGGAGTGTCCATCATCGGTAAATGTTTGGTCATCAATCGGTTGACACAATGATGGTGATGATGTTTGGACAGTACTAGTGGTAGTAGTATTGGTAGGTATTGGTGACAACTCCTCATTGTCTACCAATAATATGTATGGCTTTTGGTCATAGTTTTGGTGATGTTGTTGTTGTTGTTGTTGATGGCTATAGATATCGTTGTTTTGGTTACCATCGATGATAATGGTTGGCATCGATGGTATTGGTGTCTCAACAATAGTCGACAAATTGTCGACAATTTTATTATCATTAGTTAAATCATGATTTATTTCTGTCTTATATTTTCCGTCAAACATTTCTATTATATAGATAGTAATATTTGTGTTAATTAAATAAATTAAATAACTTAAAAAAATTTTTTAGTAATTATGAAAAATGTTTTTGTTATATATAGTTTTTTTTACAAAAAAATAAAACCTAAATTTAAATCAAATTTGATATTTTAGTTATTTATATAAAATATTTTTTTTCTTCTAGATTATTGTCATTAAAAAAAATTAATAACTTATTAAATAAATATATATATTGGAAATAATTTAACAAAATATTAGATAAAACAATTAAGTTTATACTGTATTGAAAATAATAATAATAATAATAAATTGATAAAATAATTTAAGTGTTTATAATAATTAATATATGTAAAAAATCAATTGAATTAAAAAGTTTATTTTAAAATAAAAAATTATTTTCTATTTAAAATGTCTTAAAAACTTTAAAATAGCTTTAAATACATATAACTATAGAAATATTATTAATAATTACTGTTAATAATTAATTATTATAAATAATTTTTATTTATTTATTTATTAATTAATTAATTTATTTATTTTTCAAATACCGTATTGACTTTCCCAGAGAGCAATATTTTTTTCAATTGATTCAATAATACCGCTGTAATGGTCATCAAATTGATAATAATTTTGGCCACTTTTGGCCAAAATTAGGGCCTCTTTTAAAGTATGAAAACCTTGTTTATAATTTTGATAAATATTATCTAAAATCCAATTCAAATGTTGACTAATTGTTAGTTCACTTTCCATTAAATTATTATCAAATAATTGATTCATTTTTTTTTATTAATTTTAATATTAATTAACTTTATTAATAATATAATTTAGTTAAAAGTTTAGTTAAATAATTATTAAAAATTAAAAGTTTTTTAGTTTTGTTTGTTTGTTTGTTAACAATTTATGAAATTTATTTTACATTATAATATTACTAGTGTTTTATTATTACAGTATTATTATTAATATTATTATTAATATTGAAGAGACTATTAAACAAAATAAATAAATATATATAAAAATATTTTTTTTTTAAAAAACACTTTCACTTTCTACTTGGTTTTTATGTGTCACTAACTAACTAAATATTTTATTTTAACTTAATTTTTTTTTATTAAATAAAATAAAATATATAATAATTTTTTTAAAGGAAACGATATTTATATAGGTATGTGTGACAATCATACAGTATATATATATATATATATATATAAATATTAACAATAATATACTTTATTTTTTTTATATGATTTGTCATATACTGTATAATATAAAACAGTATATGATATTTAAATAAGTGATGAAAAACTATAGTTAATAGATATCAATAACTTTCTCTTTCTCTCTCTCTCTTTCTCTCTCTCTCTCTCTCTCTCTCTCTCTCTCTGTTTCAAGTATATCACACATAGACACACATAGACACACATAGACACACATACACACACATACACACACATACACACACATACACACACATACACACACATACACACACATACACACACATACACACACATACACACACATACACACACATACACACACATACACACACATACACACACATACACACACATACACACACATACACACACATACACACACATACACACACATACACACACATACACACACATACACACACATACACACACATACACACACATACACACACATACACACAAAATAACAGAAATTAGGGGAAAAATACTTGTTTATCATCCAAAAAAATTTACATTTATTATTATTAGTATTAGTATGTATAACATTATCTTTATGTTTAATATTGTAAAGGAAAATATGAGGTAATAATAATAATAATAATAATATTATATGAATATAAAGGTGTTGTACATCAATATAAAAATAAATTGATATAATAATAATAATAATAATTTATTCATATATTCCTAAATAATCTATACATGTTTTTTTATATATGTTAACTAATAATGATAATCGTTTATACAAAAAAAATAATACATTAATAAATGTGATCATAAAAAATATGTTTAATTTAATAAAAATAATAATAAAAACTAAAATATTTTTTTTCGGTCTCTATGTTAGTTGAGTCACGAAAACGCATCGGATATTAAATATGATATTATAATATAATATTTAATATTATAATATATGTGATTATTAAATAAAATTTAATATATTTTTAGATATATATATATATTTATATATGATATATGTTTTTTTAAAATTTCAAAGTCAACTAAAAAAAATTGTGACAAAAAATAGCAAAAAAATACTGATAAATAATGCTATTAATAACTATTATTATTTTTTGTTTTTTATTTAGTAGACAAAATGTCATAATATTTTATTAGAAAAAATTAAACTTAAAAATAAAATGATTGATAATAATTTTATTTTATTTTTAAAAAAAATTGCATAGTTGTTAATAATAAAATATTTTATCTAATTAAAAATGTTTTAGTAATTTTTATTTTAAGATAAACTATATTAATATATATATATATTGAATAAATAACTAAATTTTTTAGTACAATTATAAAATAACAATTATTTGTTTTTATATATATATATTAATATTTTCAGTTAATTAATTAATAATATTTAATAATAAATAAAAATTTGTTATTAAACTACAATTACTATTATATAATAACTATTTTCTATACATTATTTAAACTGTATGTATGTATGTATGTGTTAACTAATTTAATTGTTTAATACTATTTATAGACACATTGATACAAATTTTGGGTATTCATTTAATATAAACAATTTATGTTAGAAAATATAATAAAAATAAACAATACTACTATTTTCATTAATAGTAATAATAATAATAATTGTTTTGACAAAAATATTTATATAGAAATGAAAATTATTTAAACAATTTATTTTAGTATTTTACTATTTTAGTTACAGTTATAGTTACACAACAAATATATATATTAAATGATTTATGACTTAACACATACACACACACACACAAAAAACTTGTATTAATTTGTGTGCAATAATATATAATACATATTTTTTAAGACAATTTATCATTTTATTTAACTCAAAATATCATAAAAAGCGACACAATATTTATTACAAATTTTATTTATTATAACATATTATATATATTTATTATATGTTTAGCTACTGTATACAGTTATATATACAGTATATATTATATATATGTTATAAATTATATTAGATATTAAACATATGTATATAACAAATACAACAACAACAAAATTAATTAATTATATTATAACAAATTGTTTGCTTTTTATCAATAACATAACAAATATAAATGTAGATTATAATGATAATATTTTTTTACAAATATACAGTAAACAAATAAAACAATTTAAAACAATTATTGTTAAATAACAACTACAATGTATAAAATATATATACTCTATATATAAATATATTAATACAATTGATATAACAATGTTATACATATACATAAAAAATAATCCAATATTAAACAACTAGTATTGTTTTTATCAATTATTTAATTTTTATATAATTTACTTTATAATATTACATTTATTTATCTATATTAACCCAATATTAGTTTAATAAACATTATAAATAATTCAAATAAATTATGCTGAAAAATTAACTTAACTTAATTAATTTAATTATACACAATAGCTGCTAATCAATTAGATTATTATTAATTCAATTAAAATAATTATAATAATAATATTTCTAATTAAAACAATTTATATATATATATAAAAAGTTAATTTAACTAATAAGTAATAAATTTAAATCCCTAATTGCAATAAATAAACTATTGTTAGTAATTAAAATAATATTAAACAATTCAATCAATTAATTAAGTATTGATTTTGATTTGAATAATAATTATTATTTTTTTTAAATCTATTGTATTATTATATAAATATAGATTAAATGTATTTCAATGCAAATTTATCACATATATTATAGATTAACTATGCAATTATATTGTATAATTCAAATTAAAAAAAATAAAAATAAAATAAAACCACTTGAATAATGATAACATATGTGATAATTATTATTATATGAAATCAATCAATTATATAATCAAAATATTTATTTTTAATTACCTTTTAAGGTTTTTTTTCTCTCTAAAAAATATTTTATATATGATTAGAAAAATATATAACAATTTTTTTTTGAAAAATAATAATTATAATTATTATAAGTTTATTGATACACCTAAACACAATGGTATCAATTGCAAAATACCACATCAATAAATATCATATATATATTGATGTCTAAATCATATATGGATTGATTGTATTTTATTTTATTTTTTGGTTTTGTTTTGATTGATTAATTAGGATTTAAACTTACAAAAAAAAATAAGTGGGATTTATATCATATTTTTTTATATAACTTTTTATATTAAAATTAAAAATATTGACAGTTATAAAACACAATTTGTTATATATATATTTAAAAGTTATAGTATTATAATTGTTTCACTAATTATATGATATTGATAGTCCCTAATAAAATATTTATTTATTTTTTTTTGGTAATATATTTAATATAATACTAAGTCTACTACAAATAATATTAATACTAATAATAATAATAATTACATATTATTTTGATCATAATAAACATTTTTAACAATTGAATCGGGATTATTGGTTAGATTAAAATAGACATCGGCTATAATATCATCGCTTATTTCATGGGCATAACTGACCAAATAGTATGGTATCTGTTGTTGTTGTTGTTGGTGTTGGTGTTGGTGTTTAATCTTAGGCTTGACTGATGGATCAATTTTGGTGATGGTGTCGGTAGTTCTAGCACCGGTAGTAGCACTTAGCTGAACCATTTTCACTGAACTTGCTATACGTTGTTGGCGTGTATTGGCGGCTACAACCCTAACCTCATACCAACCGGCCATCAGATTACGTACATTAATCACATTAGACCGGACTTCGGCCGGTGTTGATAACCAGTCACCACTACTACTACTGTCTACATCCCTGTCCTCTTGTTTAGGTTGTTTAAGTCGA